ACTGTGTATTTCTAGCTCATTTGAATTGTTTTTTTTTTTCAATTTTAACCTGGTGGGAAAGTCCTGAACAAGACAGGCTGAGTGTGAGTAAGGAGAGATGGTAAGTATAGAGATGGACCAGAATGGTATAATAGGAATGAGAAAGAAGGCACAGTTCAGAAACAAATACCTGGAGGAAGAAATGACAATGCTTTGTTGGAGACTAGGCACATCCAGTGTAGAAGGAACAAGAGTCAAAACTGAAAATTCAGGAAATATGTGGACTCATGATAGAAACGGAGGTAGTTGGGATGAGGAAGTGGGTTTGAATGGCAGCCACAGGCAAACCGTGACATCTGAGTTCCTGGTAGAGGTGGGACTTTGTCAGACTATAGTTTTAGTGACATGAGCCCTTGTACTGGTGTGACAGTATGAAGTACAGGAAAGTAATCTGGTTATGCTTTGTGTCAGCATTCCAGAGAATATGATAGGAAATTATGGGTGTCCATAGTTGGCTTCCCAAACTAATCTTTCAGTTCTTTTTTCTCCTTTCTCTGCCCAGCTAAAGCATGAGGAGAATTGGTAGCATAGAACGGTGGTACTTAAAGTGTGGTCCCTGAATCACAAGCATCAGTATCACCTGGGAACATTTTAGAAATACAAATTCATGGGCCCAACCCCAGAGTAAGGGAATGAGAAACTGTAGGGGTGAGTCCTCTGACCTGTATTGGAACAAGTCCTCCAATTCCTGCTGGTGTCCACTAAAGGTGTAGGACTATAGAGTGTTTACATGTTATTTCTAGAGCAGGTAAGGCAATCCAACACCTAGTGCTGTTCTTTCACATAGTACAAATCATTCCTTAGAAAAGTACATTTTCCCTTAAGCTATTCATTCAAAAACTATGTGCTGAGCATGTACTATCTGCCAGGCATTGTTCTAGGTACTTTGGATACAGCAGTGAACAAATTTGACAGTTAATCACAATAATTCATAACATAATATTTTAGCAATTAAAAATTATGCTATAGAAGTGATTGCCAGAGGGCCTGAGTGTTGGTTAGGAGGTCAGGAAGATGTTCCTAAAGAAATGACATTTAAATCAAGAAAGAATGACTAGGAATTAGTCTGGTGAAGGACTGAGAGGTAATATGAAGCCATTCTAGGCCCTGAGAGGGAAAGGCCTGGACACTTCAGGAAATTGGAAAGAGACCAGCAGGGGTAGGTCACGGTTAATGGTGGGAGTTGAAGGTGGAGAGGCAGATCTGATAGTGAGATCATGCATGCACTTGTAAAGGCTAAAGATTTTGCATTTTCCACTGTATGGCAACCTAGAGGCCATTGAGAAATTTAAAAGGACTAACATAATCTGATTCATGCTCTTTTGTTAAATGTAATTCTTCTATAAAAAAGGCAAAGACTTTCCCACTGTACATAACTGTGAGTGTAATAATGGGATGATTTAAGTTTCCTCTAAGTTATAATTGGCTAATAGAGACACTTCGTCTGAATAAGGCTGCAATAAGGGTGGGAAAAAAGGGTAGAGTGTCCATGTGGGCACCGAATGCCAGGAACAGAAAAGGAAGAAGGACTTGAGAGCTGCTTCCGCTTTGTGGTCGTGGCTGAGACTGGCTCTGCCTGTGCATGTTTGAAGCAGCCGAGTGCAAGTTCATAGGAATTGCTGCTTTTCTCAGGGCTCATCTTCCTCCCTACATAGAGGACTCTGGTGCTCAGGCTGTATCCATTTGGGGCTTTTCTCGTACATATATGTGATCTCTCAGAGAGATTTAATTCACTTTCTGGGCATCACTGTCATCTCCTTGAGAACGATTCTCAAATCTCTATGTCCTCCCTGGCCTTGAGAGGATTTTTCAAGTTTAATCCATTAGTTTGTGTTTTTGCCCTGTGCTAATCCATTGTGTTAACAAGAACTGCACATATGCCATTGTTTAGTGTCAGGCTGTGTATAGTTCACTAATGATTGAAAAATTAAACACACCCAGCTCTGACTGCTCTCCTGCATGTCAGTAGCATGCCTCATACTGTCTGCTGGAGAGTGACCCTGCAATGTCATTGTAACCACAAATAGCCTGCCTGTAATTGAACTCATTATGTCTTTCCCAAATCAACTTGCCTCTGATCTCTCCTGACTTTGTTCATTAACGCCCATGTTTCCTGCTGTTCCTGGCTCCAAGATTTTGAGTCATCCTTCATCATTCCATGTTATGCTCTTGCCAAATCCAAGCACTAAGATTGTCCCTATTCACCTGGTGGAGCACCAATTTGCCATTTGTTTCATTGCCCAATATCTTAGTATCCTAGTTATCTCACAGTAGGATACTTCCACCCACAACGCCTCCTAAATCTAGGTTCCTTTCTCAATATACCTTCAGGGCCACTGGTGACTACCCTGTATATGTGACTCTTCATCCAGCCTATTTCACTTAGCAGAGGATTTTCTGTATTATATTTTGCAGTGTAATCTTCATTTTCATGAAAGGAATATTATGTAGAAGGCTGCTGTGTAACAGAGAGAATCATGAAGATTCTCTGGTTGCAGATGGGCTATGGGTGCACAATCCCCTTGACCTGTCTCAGCTTTCCTGGCAGCATCCTTGGAGCTCAAGAGAGGTGCACTGAGGCAGTTTGAAAACATGAATTTATAGAATAAACAACTGGAATGGCATGTATGTTTTCTCCAAAATGTATTTTCTTAAAACAATATTTGTTATCAATTTATGCAAACCTTCTAACCCATGTAAAATTCTTAAATGTACAGTGTCCCCATCCCTGCCTGGGATAATAATATTTCCCTCACCTTGAGTGTCTGGAATGCCATCCATGCATCTCTGATAATCTAAACTCTACTTTTCTCAGCCCAGTCCCACCTCTCCTTAAGGGGTTTCTGGATCATTCCCTATCTCAGCAATTTTTCTTTCTTCAAATCTCTCAGTATTTCTTTCCTTACATCCACCCTGCATTATCTTAGACTTTTGTCATTTCAGGTGTATATTCAATCCCTCCCACTTAGATAATAGGGCACTTAAGGGAAGAATCAAGTGTTTTGCTGCCTTTCATCCTCGGCACCTAATATAACACGCCGGTCCTAGCCTTCGCTTACTTGGTATGTTTAGATGATAACCCACAGCAGGAAGTAATACCTATAGGCCCATCGATCTCACTTTCATTAATAGAAGTCTAAGTTAAATCTCCTGTCTTTGAAAATGTATCTCCAGAGTAGTGCTTTTAAGAGAACCAGTCACTATGACTTTAATTACCAACATTACTTTTTTCTCCAATTGCCATTAAGCCTACAGCTAGCTTCTTTGCCTGCCTTTCATTAAATCATGTTGAAAGTTAGATTTGGGAAATGACAACAGATGGTTTCAAGTGCAGAGTTCTTAGTCCAGACCAGAAGTAGTGTTTTAGCCCATCCCCCAACTCTTCAGCAAAGAGACATATAAATCACATTCTAAAGATTATAAGAAGCTTACATTAAGATGCAAATCAAACAGTGTCACTTCCTTTTAAATACCCTCTAAATCCCTTAGCATATTTTGCATGGCTCTGTATAGTGTAGCCCTCTCCACCTCTTCATCCTGTGGCTTCCACTCACCCACCACTTACCACACCCTGGCCGCAGGAGCAAGCTTTCAGTTCCTGGACTGCCACTTTTCTTCCCTCCTCCTGCTTCCTGCTAGTAGGATGGTCTTCCCTGCTTCTTTCCTGATCAATTCTTGTCATCCTTTGAACCTCAGTCTGGTTGTCACTTCCTTAATAGGGTTCTTCTCTGATCTCCCATGTTATTTGCTTTCATATTCCTTGTCATGATTTCAATCATATATTGTCAATTCATTTGTTTTGTGTCTGTGTTACTCATTAGACTATAAGCTCTAAGATGTCAGAGACTATACAAATCCTATGCACTATGATATTTTCACTGCTTAGAATAAAGCCCAATGTATAATAGATGCTTGAGTGCATAAATTAATGAGCATTTTATGAATGACTATCCTAAAAGACTTTCAGAGAAACAAATAATTCTAATATTATTAACATCCAGAGCTTACTTTTCCTTTTGCTTCTGCCCTGAATGGACATGGGTAGCCTTCTCTGGGTCATGTAATTCACATGAAACATGCTTACATGTTTTATAAAGTAACTTCCACTTTTATAAAAACAAACCAAAACCACCAAGCATTGAGCAATGAAAATCTTCACTTGCTTCCAAACAACTTAAGTTATTGGGTACAAAACGAAAATTTAAAAGTATTTGTTTCATTTAAAATTGTCTCGTTTATACATATTAGCATGGGTTTTCCTGTAATTCTTTTTTAACATGAAGTTGTTTTGAAAATGTATGCCATTGGGTAAAAAGTACAAGAAAGTATTCTCATAGCTATGAAATATCCACATGTTGAAAGATTTTAATATATGATTATCAGTACATTTAATGTGGTCCCTTTCCTTTAAGGTGCCAACAACCCCACCAATATGTCTATGACTTGTTTCTGTATCCTTTCAGTCTTGAATTACCCTGCTGACTCAAACAATTGGAGAACAAATTAAAGCCAACTTCAGAGTTTTTTTCTGATAGAAAAATCTGACCTTAAAGAACTCAAATCTTGAATATCTTTCTGTCAGGGTGCTCACAGTTCACCAAATTTGCATTGAAGATTTCACAGGTTCTCACTTTTAATGTTTGCACTATTACTGTCTTAACTGGAATGGGTACAATACTCAACTGGTTAGTTATTCCCTTTCTCAGCATAAATCATTATTCAACTAAAAGGAAGGGAAGGAGAAATATTATTTTAGTCCACAACAGATTTCAAACCCATGGATACTTCTGCATTATTCTTCTCGTACTCACCTTTTCTCCTTTTATCACCTTATATCCAATCATAAAAGTAACAGTGTAAATAAATGATAAGTTTTGAGGGTGGGTATAAAACACATACCTAACTTATAGCAAGAAGAAACCTAGTTAGATGACATCAAGCCTTTCTCTGTAGTGACTGACCTGCATGTTTCTAAATTATCAGACCCATCATCATCGCAGGTGGCAGGAGGCTTCTGAACAGGGTCATTCACCGGGAGCCCTGCATCTTCCATGTACTTGTTGCCTTCTTTAATTGCCAGCATTTCAGTGCTGGAATCTGTTTCTGAAAATCTCTTCTTTATTATTTCAGTTTGCCTAAGACTTTGCAAGAGTTGAGAATCTCTGTGGTGGTATCTACCTTGGCTAGTCTCTTGGTTCCTTGGCGATCTCTTAATCTCAAAAGATCCTCTAGTCCGGGAAGGGCTGCATTCTTGGTACCTTGTGCCTTTTCCTCTGCAGAGGTTTAAAGAGCAACTCTCACATTCCATCGTCTCTTGTTGATTTTTACCTTTGGATCCCAATTCAACAAGCTCAATTCCATTAGGAGTAGAAGACCCATCTAAGTTTTCACATGGCTTATTATTATTTCTCCTTCTTCTTTTTGACAGTCTGAATTTAACCTGGGCTCTTCTTTTTGCCTGAATCCAGTGACTGTCATCTGTGGAAGATGAATCTGAAGAATCTGTAGAAAGCTCCCTCCATCTGGGGCTTGAGATTTGGAGGTGAAAATCATTTCTTCTCCCTTTTCTTTGATCTTCTTCATGCTCATATCTCTCAGAGGCCCTTCTCCTCCTTCTAGGTCTCTGTTTTACTGGTTTCTTACCAGACTCCTTCCTAGCAGGGCTCAGCACCATGACAGGGGTGCAATACTCAAATGCCTCTTCTGACATGTCATGCAAGATGGCAGATCTAGACAAAGCAGCAGGCAAAGGATGGGAAATGGGAATGGAGAGGAAAGCCATGGAGAAACAGAGAGAGAGAGAGAATGATGAAAATGACAGCAAGGATCAGAAGTTGATAAATAAAGGTCAACTGAAGAAAATGAACTAAATGAAACAAAATTAAGCCAGTATAAATTGTCCATGGACAATGTAAGGCAGAAGCATGAGCCACACATTCTCAGAATAAAAAACAAAAACACAAAATACTGATCTAAAAAATATTGAATAAGATCATTTGCTCAGCACTTACCTGCAGATGTCCTGAGTGGATGGGCAGACAGACAACCTTGATTGGCTCCTGGGAGCTGTCCCTGTTGTTGGGCTGCTTGCCTGGAGAAACAAGTTAGATAATTTGGCATCTTGGTTAAGATAATACATGGTTGATATCTTGCTTTTTTTCCACATATTTAAAAAATTACAACAAACGTGGCTGCCGGTCATGTTGCTCATAACGCAGTACACAGAATATAGGAAGTTGGAGGGCTCGTTTTGCAAAAGTAAAACTTATTTGAGGAACTTGGGACAGCTGAGGTGCTGTACTATTTTGCTGTTACTTCATTTGTGAGAGAGGAAGATGATTCCACAAGTTTCTATTCTATTTACTGTAATCCTTTGAGTGGAATAGCTCAATTTGCTTGGGAAACAAGGGAGTAACACTTGAAGATCCTGTGATATAAAGGACTAAAGTACTATTACGTGACACGGATGATAATAATTTGGGAAGCCAAAATAATCAAATAGCCATTAGATTGTTAGATACTGCTTGTAGCTAACAGCAAGACACCATGAGATAATATATTTGAAAACACTTTTTAATATTTAAAGGCCTGCAGTTATTGCTATTGTTACTTTATTGTTGAGACTAATAAAACCTATCCATTGCTACACTTTTGACCCTTTGTATCTTTTAACCCTTTAACCATACCAAGCCTGAGAATAAGAAAGCCTGAAATAATTCAGATGATTAGCACAAAGTTGAGTACATTTCAGTAAATTCCTACCATTGAAATCCATTTCCTTTAGTGTATTTGACTTTAACTTTTGTATTTAATATAGATGATGATGATGATAATGATAAAGGTGAAATGTAGGGATTATTTACTGTGTGCCAGGCCTTGTGCTGTGGCTTTATCTACTGTCTCTTTAACTTTTCAATGATCTTAGAAGTGGGAAATGATAATAACTAGCAGTTTTGAGGGTATATTATATGCTAGTTACTGTTCTAAGCCATTTTACTATATTTATTTATTAATAAAATAAATGTATGTGGTAAATACTATAATTATTTCCCTGTTGAAGCTGAGGGAACAGAGAGATTGGGGCTGCTTCTCACTAATAGGTGATAGAGCAGAGATTTGGACCAGGAATCTGGCTTCACCATCTGTTCTCTTGTCCACCAGAAATACAGCTTCTCCACTGCAAGGCAGGAAACCAAAGAAGTCCTGGGTCCATATTCAGGCCTGTCTTACTGTATAGATGAAATGCACAATTTTTCCACCAAGAAAATAACAGTTAAGTATAAAGATTATTCCAAATTTCAAAGTCATTCTAAAAATTCCTATATTAGAGATACATATTGATGATTATGGGATCCAGAGAAGGAGAAACTAATCCTACCTAACTCAAGAAGTCAGGAAAAATTTGAAGAGAAGGTATAATAAGCTGAATAATGGTCCCCCAAAGATATCCACATCCTAATCCTTGGAAATTGTGAATATGTTTTCTTACATAGCCAAAGGGACTTTATAGATGGGATTAAGTTAAGGATCGTGAGATGGGAAGATTATCCTGAATTATCCTGGTAGGCCCAATGTTATCATGAGTATCCTTATAAGAGGGAGACAGTAGAGGTAGGGTCAAAGAGAGAAGATGAAGAAGAGTAGAGGTAAGAAAGGCGGTAAGATACTATATTGGTGGCTTTGAAGGTAAAAATAGGGGTTCTTGAGCCAAGGAAGGCAGGTAGCCTGTAGAAACTGGAAAAGTCTAGAAAATGGGCTCTCTCCTAGAGCTTCCAGTAGAAGTGCAGCCCTGCTGGCACCTTAATTTTAGCCCAGTGGGATCCATGTCTGGCTTCTGGTCTTTAGAACTGTAAGATAATTCATCTGTGTTGTTTTAAGTCAACAAATTTGTGGTAACCTGTTACACCAGTCATAGAAAACAGGAGGAGAAACTTTAGCTAACATTAAAACGCAAATAGGAGTTTACAGATGAAGAGATAAATATATTTTGGGCAGAGTAAACAGTGTGCTAAGAGAAGGATGGCACTCTGAACTTGTTCCACTAGACTGGTAGATATCTGCACACTTCTGATTTATACTTTCCTCAGTCTGTTTTTTTATCAGCCTATGAATACTGTGTGCATTTTTAAATGTTTGTACATCATCTTTGATCACCAGTCCATTTACAAGAAGCTCCTTTAACATCTGTATCAAAACTTACTTCTCGAGATGGCAGTAGAGAGAGGGACTTAAAGTAGCTGGCTTGGATTGGCTCAGAGCCAAGGGGACTCCTCACTGTGGAGACAAGGTAAGTGAGAGATTTCTAGCAGTCCACATTCCCACCACAGATGCCTGCAATCCTGGCTAGAGGAGAGTCCCTCAGCCTTCAAGGCCCTGAGCCTAGTACAGGGAGCTTCCTGGAGTCCATATGATTGCACTGTACCAAAGAGCAAATCCACACTGGGTCCTCTCCACCTCCTGGGGCCCAAACTTCTGCAATGTGGCAACATTTTGAAAGCATAACCAGCTCTAGAATACATCTTGACCTGAGGCCCAATAGTACTTGCATCTTCTCATCCTTGGGGGCTTCACTGACATTACCCCATATCCACCCAGTGGGCTGTAGCCTCCCTATATCATAGCCTCCCCACACTGCTAGCTGGACCTAGCAGTGTACCTGTATTACTGTCACATGAGTACACAGAGCTCCTACATCCTGGAAAATAGGCTGTCCAGTGAATCAGGGAAGCTTCCCCAGGATACAGGAAACCAAAGTGTGTGATACTTAGAACTGAAAATCACCTGTTTGGAGCCACCACCAATGTAGCCATCCTGCCCCCTCTAGTGGCAAGGCCACTGCTTGTCCACATGCATGCTATCAAGGAACTTGAGAACTGGCTTGCTTGGGGCACACTGCTGCCATCAACAAAGTCTGCTGCCAGCAACAATGGCGCTCATATGTGTGGCCTTGTGGCCTAAGATCAGCCCACCTGGCATCATTGACCCCCAGAAAACTGCCACACAGCCTCCATGAAAAACCATGGCCTGCGTCACTGAGGAACTTCAAAACACTGATGACATTGATTACAGCCAAAGAAATAGTACAAGAAAACAAAACCAAAGCATCCTACCCAACTAACATGATAGATCTACATCTACAACTACAGAATAATGTCTTTCCTTACAAAAATCTACAAAATCTTTTCCCTACAAAAGCTACTCCATAAAATTGGAAGAAGTGATCATTACACCAAATGCACATATACCAATGTAAGGAAACAAGAAATATAAAAAAGCAAGGAAACATGACACCTCCAAAGGAATTCAATAATTTTCTAGTAACAGACCTCAAAGGAAAAAAAAAACTATTAAAAAGAATTCAAAACAATGCTCTTAAGGAAAGTTAGTGAGATACAAAAGAATACAAATAGACAACACAAAGAAATCAGGAAAACAATTCATGATCTGAATGAGAAATTCAACAAATAGATAAATATCATAAAAAAGAACAAAGCAGAAATTTTAGAACTGAATAATTCAATGAATAAAATAAAAAATACAATTAAGCCCTTCAACAATAGTCTAGAGCAATCAGAAAAAAGAATTTTTGAACTTGAAGACAGACCTTTTGAAATAACCCAGTAAGACAAAATAAAAGGAAAGGAATAAAAAAGAACAAAGAAATCCTACATGACATATGGGACACCATTAAGCAAACAAATATTTGCACTTGGGAGTTCCAGAATGTGACAATATGGTAAAAGGAATAGAAAATCTGTTTAATGAAACATAATGAAACAGCTGAAAACATCTGAAGTCCTGGGAGAGATATAGACATCCAGATATAGGAAACTCAAAGAATCCCAATAACATTCAACCACAAAATTTTTTCTCCAAGGCACATTAGAGTTTAACTGTCAAAAGCTAAAGATAAAGAGAGAATTCTATTAATAAAAGCAGCAAGAGAAAAGTGTCAAGTCACATATAGTGGAATCTCCATCAGACTAACAGCATAATTCTCAGCAGAAACCTCATGGGCTAGAAAAGAATGGGATGATATACTCAAAGTGATGAAAGAAAAAAATTTCTAGCAAAGAATACTATACCTAGTAAATATATCCTTCAGAAATAGAAGAAACCATAGGGGAATTGCTTCAGAACATTGGTCTAGAAAAGATTTGATGATAATGCTTCAAAAGCACAGACGATAAAAACAAAAATAGACAATTAAGACTATATCAAACTGAAAAGCTTCTGCACAGCAAAGGAAGCAATAAAGAGAGTGAAGAGACAACCTTTAGAATGGGAGAAAATACTTGCAAACAATACATCTAATGAAGTATTAACATCTAGCATATACAGGGAACCCAAACAACTCAACAACAAAAAACTAATAATCTGATTGAAAAATAGGCAAAGAATCTGAATAGGCATTTCTCAAAAGAAGACATATGAATGGCCAAAAAGATTGTGAAAATGTTCAACATCACTAATCATAAGGAAATGCAAGTCAAAACCACAGTGGTATACTATCTCACCCCAGTTAGAATGGTTATTGCCAAAAAAGATAAAAAATAGACATGGTGATGTGTGCCTGTAGTCCTAGATACTTGGAGTACTAGGAGTTTGAGGCTGCCGTGAGATATGATTGTGCCACTGCATTCTAGCCCAGGTGACAGAACGAGACTGCATCTCTTTAAAAAATCCCTCACTTCTTTTAAGTTTCTATTTTTAGATTGACTTCATTTCCACATCTTTTAAACAGCTAGCTATACACCTAATTTTTGTAAAACATGAATTTCTCTTCTCTAAGCAGTATGTAATGTTTCATTATATTGTACACCTCTTATTCTATGTCCATGTTCTTATGTCCATAGAGACTAGTAGGGAACTCTGCATGTAGTAGGTACTAGGTAAAAGTCATCAGTGAAGTTTCTACTTAACCTCTTTAAAAAAATCAAGGCAGCCTCAAAATCTCCTAAAATCACTGCTGATGTTATTATGAATGTGAATCATATTATGATGAGCATCAATAATGAATATCTATGGCTATGAAGCTGGAGAGGCAAAGATGTTGAAATACACATAATAATAATAAAACAAATTTTATAA